TCGTGGCTTCTGTTTGACTGGCTTGTGTGCCGGGTCAACATGCAGCTTGTGCGTGATTATCTCGGGGTCTACCCCCGTCATTTCCATTGCGTTCCAAGCGAACACGTCTGCATTTTCCCTTAGGAACTCAATCATCTCCTCCTGTTCGGCTGCGGGCATCGCGGTCCCAACTAAGAAATATCTTTCTTCTTCTCCCTCCACCAAGGGCACCTTCCGGAGGTCCTCCACCGACCGCTCAGTTGGGTCTATCCGGGGGTCATCCATTCCTGGACGCCCGGACTGTGATTGCTATTTCTCCATGATCTCTTCCGGGCTCGCCCCTTTTCTTGGGTGAACGCCCCGGCTCTAACAGCTGAATAAAAATAATTTTTTGCGGACGCTTGGTCCCCCCGGATCTCCATGATACCTTCTGGCGTGACAAATTTTAGTTTCTGGTGGTAAGTGGAGTGCACCGCTCCCAACGCATGCAGCCATGTTCGTCCCATGATCACGTTGTAGGGAGAGTCCGTATCAATTACGACAAACTCGGTGTTGATGATGAAGGGACCCGTGACAACTGGCAATGTGATTTTGCCTACGGGCAGGGCGAACGAGCCGTTGAATCCGATGAGGGGTGTCCTGACCTTGGTGAGGTCCTTGAGGCCAAGACCCATCCGTTTTAAAGTCTCGGAGTACATCACTTCCGAGGAACTTCCAGAGTCTATCAACACCCTTTTTACGTCGAATTTACCTATCTTCAGGGTTATGACAAGGGCGTCGTTATGAGGAGTCACTACGCCTGTCAAGTCCGCGTCGGAGAACGTGATGCTGGGCTCACCAGTCCTGGCCCTTTTACTGGGTGGCCCCCCATCATCCTCGGCTACCTTCCTTGTAAAAGCTACCCTCTTGAGGTCGGACTCGAGTTCCTTGGACGTGGGGCGATCTAGGGGACATACATGGATGACATCTATGACGTTGTCCGGCTCCTCGGTCGGGGCAAGGGTGTGTCTCTCTTCTGGCCTGGGCTCTATGTATTCTTTCAAGTATCCGTCTCGGACCAATTTTTCCAAGAACGATTTGTATACCCTGCAGCTTTTGGTGCGATGTCCAAAATCCCGGTGATAGGAACACCTAACCTTTTGATCACGGGTGGAGGGATCGCTCTGCATCCTGGGCGGCCACTTGAAGAACGGCTCATGCTTGATTTTATGGAGCAACTTGAAGATGGGTTCCTTGAACATAGTATGAACCCCTTTGGACGACCCCCCTGGAGGGGGTAGCAATCCCTTTCGGGGAGTATCCTCCGCTTCCTCTCTTTTCTCTTAGATTGGAGGGTTCGGCCTTTGCTGCTTCTCATCTCGTCCTCGATCCTTGAGTACTTGTTTATCCGGGCCATCAGCTCGCCCATATCCAAGGGAGTCTTCTTAGTCAGGGATCGGTACAGGTCCGTGTCCCTCGCCAAGCCGAGCCTGAAAGACGCCGCTGTCATGACTTTCGAGCAGCCTTCTACTTCATTAACCTCTTCCCAGTATCGGATGGCATACTGGCGAAGGGTCTCGGATTCCTTACGTCTGAGCGTTAGCAATGATCCAACGTCTTTGGGCCGCTTACTCTCCGTAATGAATCGAGTCAGGAACTGCCTCGTCAATTCCTTCCACGATCCAATACTGTTGAGGGAAAGCGCCTCGAACCACTTCATCGCAGAGTCCCCCAAGCTCATAGGAAACACTCGGCAGAGGAACCGTTGGTCCGAATGATAGAGGGACATCATCTGCTTGTATTGCCTGAGATGGGCTTCGGGATCGGACCGCCCGTCATAAGTTTTGAACCTCGGCACGACAAACTTTCTTGAAACCTCCATCTCTTCGATCTCCCTGGTAAAGGGTGTTTGTATGACCTCGTCTTCGACCTCATCCTGGACAGCCTTACTTTTTCTCCTGGATTCCAACCGGGCTCTGAGATCAATTTCCTCCCTGACAGGATGTCTTCTGAAGTCTTTGAGTTCATCAATAGGCCCACCATTTCCTGGGCGCCGTGTGGATAGGGTAGAATCCTCCTCGGACTCATCTCCCTTCCTCCGTCTAGACAATCCTCGTCGGAGGTCATCCAGGGCTAATGACCTTGCCTTCCTTGAATGGTCGTTAGGAGGGTGCTCGTTAGCTCTCGGTCGCTTTGGGGCCTTGGAGCTTTCTGCCTTTTGTTTAAATGATTCCTTAGATCCTTCGTTTCCGCATCCCGGGCGGGGAACCCACGAGAAAGGAATGAGTCCCTCGACCCTTCGCCGGAGGCGGTAAATTCGTTGAGCCGACTTAGGACGTTTATATTGTCCTTTTCCAGCTGTCGTAATCTATCGCCAAACTTTTCTTCGATCACCTCCGCCAGCTGACGAGCCAAGGGGGCTAATCCCCTGACTTGATTCCCATACTGGTTTGAGGGGTAACCCCTCTTGACTGAGTAGAGGCATTTTTATTTCCATCAGTGTGATCCCTCCCTTCATGGTTACAGGGAGCTTGTAATTCGAGACTTCTTTGGTGGGGACCTTTCCCTTTTTGTCGAGTGTTCACCATGGTCACTGTTCTTTATAGAGAAAAAACTAGGAAAACTAGTCATTTCCCACAGACGGCGCCAGATTGTACGCGCTAGATCTCGCACAATATAAAAATGAGAACAGATATCTCCCTTGGTGAACTCGAGTGAGTCAGTTGGGTGGTCAACCACGCTGCTTGGAACAGCCTGTTAGATCCGGTGGTAACCTGAAACAGTAATGGGAGATCCTCGCGGATCAAAGGAACGATCCAGTAAGGCTAAAGAAAGGTTCCTGGAACAAAGAAAAACAAGTTAGAAGGGCGCCGGAGTAAGTTAAGTTTGGCGTATCCCCTCCGACGATCAAGTCAGTTTTTGAGAGAGAGGAAGAAGAAAACACTGAGTATAATTTGTAGCAAAAGTTTCACCTCCCTTTCCTTGCCTTTAGTGAGGAGTATTTATACCTCAAATACTCATGATTGCTGTCAGTGTGGTCAGTAGGTGATCATTAGATACAGGCAACGTGCGCACTGATTCCTATGAGGAATGTCTTCTCTCTTAACTGCTCGGGACCCCGAGCAATCAAGACTGTGTCATCGGCCTGCCGACGGTTCAATGAGCTCCTCTCGGGGAGGATGCAATAAATGGCCCAATCTTAGAGACATTTATTGCCTTTCACTTTCGAGCCTTACCGCATTGAATGCAGTCTCATCAAAGGAATGGTGTAATTAAATGCTTGTTTTCCCAAGTCGCATGTCAGCAAGGTCATGCGGTCTTTCTGTCTTTGATGTGACACAATATGCCACGCGTCCATTCCTCATTGGCTGTGACCCCTGCCTTCCTGTGCCTTCTGACACCAATTGAGTAAGATGAGGTCATGATAGCTAATCTAGCCTAGCCTAGGCTAGTGACCAGTGCATCAATAGCCTCTGCTGAAGCAAAGAACTTTATCCTAGATGAGGGGGGTACATCTCTGTACCGAGGAAGAGGTACATCTCGGAGCCGAGGAAGAGGTACATCTCGGAGCTGAGGAATAGGTACATCTTGAATTCGAGAGGGGGAGGCCTAGCGACCGATGTACCATATCAGACCGAGGGTACGTGTCGGTACATATAAACGTACTGGATGCCACTCGATCCCCATGATCAGTATCTCGGGGGAGAGGGGACTTGTGATCCGATGGGTACGTGATTTCGATAACAATGATTAATGACACCGATGACACGTGTCTTCATCTCGGAGTATTTCGGAAATGTCCCATCACTAATAAAAAAAAAACAATGGTGGAATGTAAATTATTTCTCTCAGGCATTCCAACAAATACTTGGTGTCCAAAACAATAAATTTCAAGTTGTGTAAATGTGTTGTGTGTGTGTGTGTTTGTTTGTGCAGTGTGTGTGACGTGTATGTGTGAGTTGGGTGAGGATGTTTGTTTTTGCTGTGTGTTTGAGTGTACACGATGTGTGTGTGGGTGAGTGGATTTTGGTGCGTGTGTGTTGGGTCTGTGTTAGCTATGTCTGTCCTTGTCTGTGATAAGTGCGTATGTGTGCGATGTGTGTGTGTGTGTTGTCCTCTGTGATATGTGTGTTGTGTTGTGTTGTGTATGTGTGTGAAACTGTGAAGTGAGAGAGAGGGCAGAGAAATGGTGGGGTGTGTCCGTGTGGTGTATGTTGTGGTGTGAGAGAAGTGAGAACAGAGAAAAGAAAGAGAAAGGAAGAGGGGGGAAAGAAAGAGACAAACCTGAGAGTGAGTCGTCAGATTTGCAGAGTCGTCGGAATTTCACCGAAGTTCAATGTGCTGCACATAGAGAGAGAGGAGAGAAAATTGGGAAATGTGTTTATCGTATAGAGAGAAGAACAAAGAGTGGGGTGGGGGTGGGGTGTGTATTAAAACTTCTAAGTCTTATAACATGGTGCTCCTATGTCTATAGCGCGCGCGTGTGTGTTAGGCGTTTACTGAGATACCTGGGCGAAATATTTGGGTCGTCGGAGTTGGACTCCAGAGAGAAAGGGATGAGACAAATTGTCAGAGTAATTGCTGAGATACTTAGGCGTGAGAGATTTTGGGGATGAGTTTAAAAGGCAGAGGATGAGATTGAGAAGGATTCTAAGAGAGATTTTGGGGAAACATCTGGAAGAATCAGAGGAGGGAGGGAGAAGCGTCAGTAAAGCAAAAAGTCACTATAAAAATAAGAATTTTGTTGGGCTGGAAAATAAAATTTGGTAATTACTATACATTGTTAGATCAAATTTTTTGAGATGATCTAAACCGTCTTTTACGTGAAGATGATTATGTTATCTGTTAGATGTGTTTATATTTTATTTCAAAATGATCTGAATCATTCGTTGTCTTTTGAGTGTAAACTTCGTTTTACTTTATTATATAAATATAATATTTAAGTATGTAAAATAAAAAATCTAAAATCTATTGGGGGTCGGGGTGCGAAATGAAATAAGATTCCCCTTGCCCATAAAGAAGAAAAATTACCCTTATTACTCGAGAAGGAAAATTACTCCTAACCTTCAGCTGCTGGAATTGAGAGAGAGACAGAGAGAGGGTACTGAATCGTGGGGGTAGAGACAGAGATGGAGATTATAGAGGGCCATAGGTCAACACCACCTTCAGGCCGCTACACACTACAACCATCTCCATTCTCAAGCGAAGATATACTCTTCTGCATAGATGTGAACACTGAGTCACTTGTGGAAATGAAAGTCACAGGCCCCAATGGCCGACCCTTCACCAGATTGGACACAATGAAGCAAGCGATTCTTCTCTTCATCAATGCCAAGCTGGCCATCAACCCTGATCACCGCTTCGCTTTCGCGGCACTAGGAAAGTCGGCTTCTTGGGTAAATCCCTTAGGTTTATTTGCTACCCTATTTTTCTTGATCGTGTGGGCTTGAATTTTGGTGGGTTTTATGGAATTTCCAATTAGGGTTTAGGGTTAGTATATCTCTTTGGATGTTCAGCTGGGTTAGTTTAATTGCTGATTTATTTGTTTATATCTGGTTATATTTTTGTACAGCGGTTGGAGTAAAATGTTGGTTTCTTATGTATATCTGGATGCTATTTTTGTGTAATTGATATTTTACTTCTAGTGGCCACTCTAGCTTTCAAGGTTCAGTGTAAATAAACTAAGTCTGTTTGATTATCGATATAATAGTTTGTTATGTGGAGCCATGGTAATGGGAATAGGTGTTGGGGTAGGTTGAAGAGGGATGGTAATGAGAGCTGGCCCTGGCTTACTTCTATGGGGTTTGCCTTTCATTGAATTGAATTTCAGCGAGGATTGTAGGTTAAGGGAGGCTGACAACTACGGAAAAGTTAGCTGTGTGATTGCATTTTCTGGGATCACATTTGTCTTTCTGGTACCATACCCATGCCGTCTTGATTGGACATAGGAATTGTCAGGTACAAATGTCACTGGAAGTGACATGGGCAAGTGCTGGCCCTCGTGCTGTGGTGGTTAGGGTGCAAAACCAAAACCCCCAGGTCAGGGCTCAGGGGTTCAAGGCAGAGAGAGAGATCATTGATCTTGTAGTAAGATCTGAGATTAGAGACACTCCTTAATGCGATTACTAACTATAATAATGATGACCTTGATACCATTACAACTTAAACTCTCAGTAGTCTATAAATGTGATTACTAACTATAATAATGATGACCTTAATACCATTACAACTTAAACTCTCAGTATAATCTTACCATCTTGGCCTTTCTCAATCTTCTAAGCCCAATCAAATTGGCAGCACGCCATAGGTGATATGCTGATTTTTTTTTATAAGAATCTTAGAGTTGTGGCAGAGTTGTGTGAATTGGCTTTTCTAATCTTACAAAAGTGCATCCATCTCATGTTTTAATGCCTGGAGATATGTACATTGGCATGGTGAAGGTAATATTTCTCACCTTTCAAATTTGATGCCCCTCTTCCCCCAAATCCTTAACCTCTTTCATCGGTTGGACATAGGGGTTCCCAGTTGTTTTAGTACTTATCATCTATTTGATCTCACCTGCTGAATAGCTTTAATGGCTCTTGCTATTAATCTTGTAGGAACATTTCCAATTCCATAGACAATCATTAAACTATATATCTTATCATTTTGGACACAACCACCCCTAGATTACGCTCCATCTTTCATTGGGTTCAACCGTATAATTGGCATTCCATATTTCCTTCTATGTCTCCTTGCTTGTGTATGGAGAGATTGATTGCTATGGCATACCTTGAACCTACCTTCTTTTTTTTTCCCAATGTGATCATGGTATAATAAAAAGAAGGTAAGTGATAATGGTCTACTGGATGGATTTACTTGCATAAACCACTTTATGGAAAGAAGTGTTTGGTTAATTGGGTGATATTCTCATTTCTTTTCTTTCAACATTTGAAGCTTCGGAAAGAGTTTAGTAGTGAAGTTGAATCTGCAATGGCAGCATTTCGGGGGATCTCAGTTGACTCGTCTTCTGGTCATGTGGATCTCACCCAACTATTCCGGGTAGCAGCCCATGAAGCAAAGAAATCTCGTGCACAGAATCGGATCTTCCGGGTGGTAAGTTACGGTGGATTCACACTTATATATACCTGCTTATGCATTTATCACTGTATTTGTGCCAAGGAGCAGAGCCCCCCCTCTCCTTTTCTGTCTACAAGTTTCGTCTCTGTTGTTAGACAGTTGATACCACTAATTTCAAGTACAATTTCTCATGCAATCTAATGAAACCCAAACACAGTTTGGGTTAAATTTTACTATCGCCAAAATAGGACTAGAATAATAAGGATTTTGTGGAGTTTAAGTTTTTTGTTACTGTTCCTAATTTAAAATATTTTGGGATTTCTTTTTAAAAAATTGATTGCTATATGAGTTGTCTTGGGAATTAACAAGATTAGGTTTTCTTTACAGCTTTGATTTTTATGTCTTGAAATTCTCTGTCAGAGGAAGAGCTGTTGAGGGTTTTTTTCTTGATTCTCTGCTATCTACTTGTAATATTTGGTGATTCCTGCTTTTTTCATGCACATACTGTTCTGGTTTCTTTTTTTACTTCTCTCTACCCTCAAATGGTACAATTAATGCAGATTGAACTTCTGGGAATGTTTTGAAACCGCATAATGAAGAAGCATTTTCGAGGAATATTTTCGTGGCACCTAAAATAAGTAGAGGGGTTAATCCAACCGAGTTTTGCAAGTTTGAGTCCGAGCCTGGCGAGTTTTTTTTTCTAAACGAGCCTAAAAAATTGTTCAAGTTTTACTCGTTTAGAACTCGAGCCGAGTCCGAGTAGCTCGACTATTTTACATATAAACAAGCTGAGCCTTAGAAAAACGAGCCTAAAAAATTGTTCAAATTCAATTCGTTTAGAAGATGAGTCAAGCTCGAGTTGAGTTTTATCTGAGTCGAGCCTGAGCCAAGCTGAGCGATTCATCTCGATTAAGACCCCTAAAAATAGGTTTCCTACATATTCCAGTAATGTGTGTATCATCTTTCAGTTATCACATGTTCTTTCAGGTGCAATTCCTCAAATTTCAAGAACTAACTAGTGTGACTTGTGTTTCTGTTGCATTCAGATTCTACTTTATTGCAGATCATCAGTAGCACCACAACATCAATGGCCTGCAACCCAGAGACTCTTCACTTTGGATGTAATATACCTTCACGACAAGCCAGGGCCTGACAATTGTCCCCAGAAGGTGTATGATGCCCTTGTCGAGGCCCTTGAACATGTCAGCGAGTATGAGGGCTACATCTTTGAGAGTGGCCAGGGGCTGACACGTGTCCTCTTCCGTTACATGTGTGTTTTGTTATCACATCCCCAGCAACGTTGCGTGCAAGATGATGTTGACATACCCAAGTCCCTTACGAAAAAGTCACCTGCAGCTGACTCAGCACCAGCAGAAGAAAATGTTCCTGTGACCAGCCAATGAGAGAGAGTAAACAGTCGAACAAGTGAATTGTGGTATGCATGTTTGTTTTTGTCTATGATGTGATTAGGTTTCTGGGAAAAGTTCATGTGTATCTGTAATTTTGTAACCTTTGTATGAATAGTGTAAACCTTCTGGATTCGCTAGTCTGACTAAATTTCTTAAATTGACAAAGTAGATGGTGACCGTGGAAACTAGACTACTCTTTTTGCTTTCCTACAGTTGTTATACTTGAAACAGAAGAAACTCTGGTAAACTGTTGAGTGTAGTTTCTTTGGTAGTCCAAAATGAAAGGGAAAAAGTTGCTTTGTTTTTTTGTAAATTGTCTTCGACTTGGTTTGGGAAGTCTTCTTAAGGCTGCAGGGTTGACATCTTTACTATGCATAATCGTCTTCTTTAATTAAAAATTAGAATTCTTTGTCTGTTCAAATAATATCTTAATCTGTCAGATATTTGGATCGAATTCAGATTGATGTTTTTAATTGCAGTCAGATTTAAACTAGATGAGATCTCATCCGAATTTGATTTATTGACACAGGTCATACACAAGTTGTGTCGATCGTGCAAGAAATAGCTTCCAAATGCCTTCACAGGTGGTGCAAAGTGTGCCATTGACTGGTTCAGATTTTGTGACAAAGAATTGCTTTTTATTTTTTCTTCTTGATGAGAATTATAGACTCTTGTAGTTATCCCAAATGTTTCTGCAATTAAAACTGAATGCATTATGGAAGAAGCACGACTATTATTGTAGTTGATTGAACAATGCTTAAAAATGTGGTAAAGGACAGGTTGAAAATCAAAGGAAAAAACCTGTAATAGATAATTGCAGTTAGGCTGAATGGAAGGTTTTACAATATATGTTGGTTGTCCATTATGATGCAATTGATTTTCCTTTGCATATCCTGAAAATAATTAATTAAAGAGAGCAAAGAGACAACAAGAGAGAGATGGAGGAAGGAGAAGAGAGAGGTTGGTGCAGATTGGTGGAGTTACCTGGCAGTGGATAGTGTTAGTTGAGTTGTCTAATATTGGAGACAGTGCAAAGAAGATAATATTTTGGAGTGGGAAATTTATTTTGGGATGATGCATTTTGTACCATTGGATGAAAGTAGATAAAAATTGAATAAATTTTAATTATTATTATACTTTTATTAGTTGAGAATTTAACTTCTGTAATATTAAATAGAAGATGTCTTTGAATATTTGGCCTAAATACTATTGGCCTTTCATGTGAGGCAAATGGTGGTGTTCTATTTCTACAAGGAACCAATTAGCAGATACCCTTCAACCTTGAAAATAAACTAGTTATTTTCTAACCTCCCTCAGTTACTACCTGTTTTGTGTTATTTCTCTGCCAGGAAAGATGTTTGGAAAGCCATGAACCTTGGCCAAGCAATATAAAACAAAACAATTAGCCTAAAAAAATTGCCACTAGCTTGAGAAAAGTTGAAAAACCTTGCTTGAATTGTGGTATATAAAAATTTGTGCTGCCCCCCCCCCCCCCCACCAAACCCCAAAAAAAACACCCAAATATAGCCCACTTGATGGGTTTCTACATGCAAGTTTTAAAAGACTTGAAGAGGTATCCTGATTGGTGTTTGACTTTTTTGGATATTGACCCACTGATTTGAGAAATAAGGAGTGCCGGGGCAGATGTATTGTCAGCATCCAATCTTTACGGTCCTAATCTGAAAGAGCCTTCTCCATTTACATTTGACCCTCTCCCAGACCCAGTAGTGGTGGGGAGTCCGTGAACGTCCACATCTGCTTCTTTTGTTCTTCCTAATCTTTGGTGACTCAAACCATTTACAAATATAAGTAGTTTATTTTTATATGGAACATCATGACATGATCCACACAAATGGGAGTGGGACCCAGGAGTTAATTATAAAATCCATTATAGAAAATAGCAATAGAAGTCAACTCAAACATATGGTGAGGATGGTTTGATTTATCACCTAAAGAAATCTATGGGTTAATCTTCTAAATTTGGTTTATCCTTCCCCATATATGCATGCTCACAGTGGTAATATAATCCTCATACTTTGTTGTTAATGGTTCTTTTTAGTGAAGGTTGACCCACTGTTTGCGTCTTTCCAGCTATAGTTTCTTCAACCTGCTAAAGAGCTCCTAAGTACTTGCTGGCATGACCATCCTTTTGAATCTCATTTCCTTGTAAAGAGCATCAATCAGGCCATGGTCAACCATCTAGTCGATTCTACCTTCTCCCACTTGAAGAAAGTGCTAAAATGAGCAATGGGGTCACCCTACAATGACCTATTTGGGTTTATAATGAGGCAGTCTGACCTGGATTTTGATAGAAATTTGGCCAAAATTTTGAAATAATTTAAGAAACTATTGACCTTAGCCAAAAGACCAAGAAACAAGAAATACATGAAAAGAAATGTAGGAACTCTATAAGATAATGGTTATTTTGTTGAGTTGAGTGCTTCAACACAGTCTTCAAAGCTATTCAACAGCTACTTAAAATACTATTATTGGCTGCCTAAAATCAACTGTTTAGAGCATTTAAACAATCTCATAAAAAGTTGGAAGTCAAACACTTTTAGGTTCTCTTGGAGCGTATACTATTTACGTTACACCCTATCTAACAACTTTAAGTTTTTAGATGAGTTGGTGATTTAACATGGTATCAGAGCGGATGTTCTATATTTGAATCTTACCACCACCCTTATAAGTATAATACCTAAATGTGATTTAGCCAAGATCTAGCTCGCATGTGAGGGTGCATAATGAAGCATACAATACTTATTTTACACACCCTCTAACAAGGTAAGAGTTTAGATGAGATGGTGATTTCACAGGTTCCATTGCACACAAGTGCCCTGCCAATTCTACAGTTAGGCATGTTAAAAAACTACTTAATCCCACATGGGTACAACTCGCATGGCCTTTAATTTAAGCTTGCTGTAGTCTAAAATAATAGCCAACAATTATAAAACCAGTGTTATTGAAACAGGATGTACTTTTCAGCTCACTGGAAGCCACTCCTAATCCTGCATATATTATATAATGTTATTTTACACCTCCTGGGGTTCTTATTCCCCATATAAAAAGACTAAGTCACCACTTGTTTTGACAATAAAAGTGAAGTGGGTGCCAAAAGGAAAAAGCTTATAATTTCTTATGGGTATCTGCATATCCATTGTATCGTCAGAGATTCATGAGACTGATTATGGCCATGAAAATGCTGTGTATTATGAAGAGACTAATTCCTTTAATGAAACCCAAAGAATTGGCTCAGTTTATTCTCAGCAAGGAAGCAAAGGATCAAACCAAGATGCTGCAATTCTCTACCAGGTATGTTGACAAGTCCTCTCCAAATTGCATAACATTCAGGGTTGTTTTTCATTTTATTGCTTATATCTGATCCTATAAAATTTATTTCTCTTCTGCTAAACGAATTAGTTTTTCTCTGAAAGAATTTAAACTCTTGATGAGTTTTCCAATATAACAGTCCTCTAGGAAACATAACATGAGAATTTGTTTGTTTTGGGATTGAACGGGCTGATCATAAACCAACAATAAGGTCAGATACAAGAAACATGATACATGGTGTTGGATATTTTGATGCATAAATTGGTTTGGATGAAATTAACCTACTGAAACATGGGGTGTGTGCTATGGTTACTAGGCTTCTGAGCTTCTATAAGTACTGAAATAGGATTTGTTCCTTTTGAAAGGGCTATGGAATGGCAGATGGAACTTTTTGTGGAGTTTTCGATGGGCATGGAAAGAATGGTCACATAGTGAGCAGGTTTGTGAGAAACCACTTGCCTTCGTTGCTCCTGAATCAGAGGAATGATCTTACAAAGAACAATACAGTTGCATCAAATGTTAAGATCAGAAATCGAAATAAAATAGCAGAGGGAGAATTGGTACCACAGAAAAATTTTCATAAACAGAAAGAGGCTTGTATTAGTGCCTTCAAAGTGATAGACAGGAAGATTAAGCATCTGGAGAATTTGGACTGCTCTTGCAGTGGAACCACAGCTGTTGTTGTAGTAAGACAGGTAACAAACAAATCACTTATGGCTGCATATAAATTGAATTATTAGCTTGGTTTCATTTTGAAATTTTATATGGAGGATTTGCATGTTTATTGTAAATAATGTGAAATTAATAAGCAGGGTGAAGATCTTGTTATTGCTAATCTAGGGGATTCAAGAGCAGTTCTGGGGACAGTCAGGGATGATGGAATCATGGCTGTTCAATTGACAACTGATTTAAAGCCTGGCTTGCCCTGTAAGACAACCTTTTTTATTGTCATCTATTACCAGTGAATATCCTAAAACTTTTCTGCTCTTTATGCTCCTAGTTTTAGGCATTCAGAACCAATGTTGTCAGAAGTGTATCGGAAGATGAATCATTTTTCAAAAAAGTATATCGCGTATCATAACGTATCGTGTATTGTAAGATATGTACAATTTCATAAAAAATATTTAAAAATAAATATACTTATGATAAAATGTCATAATAATACCACAAATTTCTCACATAAAACAAAGTAAAGATACTATAGAGACCAAAACAAAAAATTAACAATCTATATTTTGAAGTTTCTATCATCATTCATCTATATCAAAAGTTATAGAGTTCCAAGTCTAACGTCTAAAATAGCCAGAGAAGGACAATTTTAACAATCATACTATCTGCTCCTGCAATGAAACAAATTAAAGAGAAGATTTTTATTTTTTAAAACTATAGATAGTGAAACGATGTTGTTTTATTACCTAATATTTGAAAGAATTACTTTTAAGTGAAAAGGCGGTGTTTTCTAGTTAAAATTCGAAGAAATTTTTTTAATCTATTTCATCCCATATCGTCTTGTATCGGGTGTATTGTATCATGTATCGCACGATACGGTACAAACTAATACACTTAAGCGACACTTATCATTTTATTCATGTGTTAAAACGTATAGTATCGTGTATCATACAATACTAACAACTATGATTGTGAGTACTGCCCAAATCCTATCCAGTCATATTTACTGCTAAACTGTAGGAAATCTAGTGTCTTCTTCCTCCCTCTTACTCAATTTTGGCCTAGTACCAGTCCTCATAGTACCTGTAACTTCAACTATTTCAAGCTATATCACCTTTGCTAAGTTTGAAAGCTTCCTTTTCAATCAATCCATGTTTTTTTTGTCCTTCCCTCGTTTATAAATTGGTTCTATCCTAGTGAGTGATGATGGTTTATCAATGGTCATGCAGCGGAAGCAGATAGAATAAGAAAGTGCAATGGTCGAGTAGGTGCACTGAAAGAAGAACCACACGTTCAGCGAGTGTGGTTGCCACATGATGACACTCCAGGCCTGGCCATGTCGCGTGCATTTGGAGACTTCCTACTCAAAAATCATGGCCTAATTGCCCTCCCTGATGTCTCCTATCACCGTCTAACGCCCAACGACAAGTTTCTTGTACTTGCCACTGATGGGGTAAAGACCAATTTTATCAAACAACGGAGTGCTGATGCTTCATCTTGCACAACATTTCGAGACCCAAAATAATCTTAAAAATACAAAAACCGAGTACTGATGCTTCTGATGTTGGTGTTGCAGGTGTGGGATGTGCTTAAAAATGATCATGTTATATGGATTGTGCACTCAGCAGAGAATGAAGAGGCAGCAGCAAAAGCAGTGGTAGAAGCAGCTGTTGCTGCATGGAAACAGAAGTACCCTTCTTCAAGAAGAGATGACTGCACTGTTCTCTGCCTCTTTTTGCAAAAGAGGATCCAACAACATTGTTTGCCCCTTAAAACTTGAGCTTTTAACGCTTCATCTTCCAGGTTGAGCATTACACCTTTATCATAGAGGATCTTG